AAAGTCAGAATTCTGAGATTAAAGTCAGAATTCTGAGAAAAAAGTCAGAATTCTGAGGAAAAAAGTCAGAATTCTGAGATTAAAGTCAGAATTCTGACTTGTTTACCATACTAAACTGAATTTTTTTTTTAAATCAGTTAACTTTTTTTTTTTTTTTCAGTGGCCCTAATCCTCTTCCGTAGAAATAGGATTATTTATAAGAATTTAGAATAAAGGGAGCTACTCTGGTCCACACACCAGCACAGTAGATGGCGATAATACATCCTAACGTTTGATGTCACCTGCCAGTACAAACCAGAAAGAAGATTTTTTTTTTCTTTTTTACAAAACATTTATTCAACAATGATTTAACAACAAACACTTAAAAAACAAGTCAGGTCAACAATACATTGTCATATCAGCAGCTTGTTATATTTTAGCTCTCCCTCATCAGAAATGGTACACAAAAAGAAGAGGAGTAGGAAGAAACAGCAGGGGGCGCTATATGCAACTGAAAGAGAGAGGATGAGGAAAATAAGTATGCAAATTATGGAATTTTAACGACAGATGGAGCCAGGGATAAAATTTGATTATTAATAAAGCATTGTTTTTATTTTTACAATACACAAAAATAAAAAAATAAAATATAGTAGGTGGAACTATAGAGCCTCACACCCATGTACAGTAGGGGACAATATGCTGCAATCCGGCAATCTAACAAAGAAGAAGAAGAAGAAAAGAGGGGGGAGGAGGAAACAGCAGGGGGCGCTGTGACATATAATACATTAATTGCGAACGGGGAAGGAAAAGTCACGCTGCTGTCTTTTAATTAGATTATATTTGTCAGGCGTTTTGTATTGCAGTGATAGTGTTTTATCCTTTTAGTTGTTTTCCTTTTAGTTTCCTGGCTGTGCTGGTTGGTTCCAACATGTCGGGGATGCAGCAGCTCAGGCTCCTGGTTAGCGAGCGGCTAACGGCGGCTGCAGAGGAGATCTTCGGGCTCTTTGAGAAAACAATAACGGAGTACCAGGAAGAGACGGTCCGCTCCAAGAGAGAAATCATCCAGCTGAGACAGCAGATCGAGCAGCTGACCGTCTTACAGCCCCGGGTGTCTTTGTTCAAAGAAGGTTGGTGACGACGCTGTCAAAGCAGCTGTTGCTAAGTAACCGTGGTCTTGTCATGCAGCTCAATGTGCTACATCTGAGATGATCCGTTGGTTTGGGTTGAATTAGATGAACTTTATGAACTTCTATCATCCGTAATTGTACTTAAACAGTTATTAATTGCATCTCGTAATAGTTTGCTCTTGAGATTGGCGCTAATTTAGTGTATTTTGTCTTCTATAGACGTGCAATCACTGGCTGGGAATCAAAGTCAGCCTCCAGCTGAAGAACAAAAGGAAAGTCGGGAGCATCAGAGGGTCAAAGAAGAGCAGCTGGATGTCTGCATCAACCCACACCAGGATTCTCCACAGGATGTCAAAGTTTTTCCTGCTGGATCAGAGACAACCGTTCAAACGGAGCCCCAGGTGTTACCCAGTGTCAGCTCCATAACTGAAACAACAAACAATGATGACGTCCATAATGAATGGACTAATGATGTTGGGCCAGATTTGTCTTATTTTGACCCAAATCCCGGTGAAATTACTTATTTGCAGCAGGAAATAGCCCTCGATAACAAGTCCTGCCGTATCTGTGCCAAGTTCTTCATCAGGGACTCGGCTTTGATCAGGCACATGGAGGAGGTCCACACTGGACACAAGGCCTTTAAATGCTTCGAATGCCACAAGGAGTTTGCTCGTAGAGATAGCCTGGCTTTGCATTTGAGGGTTCACACAGGTGAGAAGCCGCACAGGTGCCCCTTCTGTCAGAAGACCTTCACCCAGACTTCAAACCTCAGAGTTCACATGAGGAAACACACGGGCGAGAAGCCGTACTTCTGCGACAACTGTGGCAAAATGGTGGCACACTCCTACCACCTGAAGACATGCTCCAGTCATGCCTCGTATACCAAGAATAACAGCAGGGAGAAGAAATTCCGCTGCTTCCAATGTGGCAAAAAATTTCGCTCCATTCCAGACCTCAATATGCACATGAAGATTCATGAAGCCAGAAAATCACGGGCTCTTGTGCAGATGTTTTCTTAGTCTTTTTTTTTTCCCAGCATTTTTTTTTACACTGTCAAAAGTATAGCATGACGAAATTCACATTCTGCACTAAACCCATCACCCCAGGGGTACAGAGTGTTTATTTTACTTGTAAAATGTAGAAAATATAGAGAATTGTGAATAAAAATTGTGATTTGTTTTTGTACCCCTAAAAAGCTTGTAAAGGTTTACATATAGTGTCTTTTGGGCCCTTTTATTCCATATATCTGTGATTAAACTAAGAATGAATCACAAAAAACACATCTCCTGAGCTGTTTATTACAATTATATGTGTGTGTGAATGTGTATATATATATATATATACACACACACATTTGTGTAGGCCTACTACTTGCATATCTAAAGCAATTGTAGCTTGCTATTTTACTTTCTGTATGATACAGGTCCAGCGGATTCTGAAACAGCTTCTTCCCCACTGCCATCTGACTGTTGAATAACTCGAAATCATATCACTCTTTCACTCTGCATCACTCTGATAACACCAAACCAAAACACTGCATAATTGTATCATATATATTTCATGTTCCGGACTTCCATATCAGTGCTTTTTTAATTTTTTTATTTATTTATTTATTTTTTTCTTGCGTAAGGTTTTTTTCTCCCACACTGTTTACATTTGATCACGGCTGCATTTCAAGAATTGGAAATGTCATGAAAGCTGAACAAAATGACAAAAAACAAAAGTTGACCAAGTTTGAAAAGTTGAAAAATCAACAGTGTGCTACAAATCCTTCATTTAGACATTTTGTATACAAAATTGTAAAAAAAAAAAAAAAGAAATTTCGTTAACAGCTCTCTGGACAATTTCATTTTTAAGGTAAGCAGCAGTGATAAAAAAAAAAAAAAACACATTGTGATGAAAAACAGTAACAGTTATACTAATAATCTAACTTTTTGTAATAAAAAAATATTTAAAATTGTATTTAAAAAATAATTCAATTAAAGAATTAGAAAAACATATCAAAGCTTGGATATGTTTTTTTTTTGTTGTTTTTTTAATCCATCGCTGTAAACCAGCAGAATTGGGCTGGCTGATAAAAAATGATATGCAGTACCGAATTGTGCCAGAAGGAGGTGGTATTGCAATCTGTACGCTTGGACATAGATTGTATATTTTCAAGAGGTAACACTACAATTCGAATGTATGATTCTGTACATCAAAAGATTGCCTCTGATTCTTATTGGTATTTTATTCCCAAATATTGCGAGCTAAACTTATCGAGGTTCTAAGTACTATTAGCCAGGTACAAAAAAAACAAAAACAAATCAACCCTGACTGCTTCCGTTCCTGCTTTTTGTCTCGCTGCAAAGATCAGCTCAAATGTAACGCAGAGTGAGACCTCTTCTTGTTACCGACGTTCTACCTCATTCCCATACAGACTGAAGCTAAAGGAGGTGATGGGGGAGCGGAACTGCGAAACTGACAGGCAAGCAAAATTAATTGTTGCTGCTGACATTGAAAGGTCTACTTAATAACTTTTAGTTGGTTGTGGATACATAAGATTCAATAATAAGGCAGCTTTTAATAAATGACAACACAAACCGGCTTCTGGTGAGAAAGCTAGCTAATCTGCGATGGTAACAATAATAATGAGCTAATGGGATCAGCTTTCTGTTTAGAACAATAAACCGTCATCGTCAGGTCGCTTTAATACTTTCCTCTTTTATTTTTACTCTATTATGTCAGTTTTCTCATAACGTCTTTATAATTTTAGTGTCTGTTCTTCCCACCTGTCTGTTAATCCAGCATGAAGACTGGAGAAAAGGACAATAGTGTTTGTTTTCTCTGTTGAACAAACCCAGAGAGACAGGCTGTTATCACAGCAATAAGGGATGAAATATATCATTAAAACAAGGTGAACAGGCCAGTTTCCTTCAATGAAAGGACAGTAAAATAAAGCCTTTAATCTATTCCTGCTGAGCTGTGAGGCGGATTATCTTTCCTGTATCGGTTTACTGAGGCAGGACAATCCTGGCCTGTTTTTCCACAGATTCAACTAAAGGCTCAGACATCACTTCTTTCTTTCTTTATTTTATTTTAAAGGCACGTGACTGTAAGGAAAACACAGGAAAGCAACTTCCCCAAAACATCAAGCATCAGAGAGTTTAGAGATAAAACCTTCATGAATATTTACAGCTGCTGGGACTGGATTTGACTTGGAAATGTTTTGAAC